AGAGATCATAAAGTGAAATATGTCTCTTGTTCTTCAAGCAGCTTCCCATAGCAAGCCTGATCTTTTATGATTCTTTGATTATTCTTAAGACTAGAACCGCTTCATGTATAATGGAAGAAAAATATGATTTTGTTCCTTTGATTCCAGCTTCATTTTAATGGGGTTAAAACATTTTAAATACAGATAAATTTTTCTTCTGTTTCCTGCTGCAATGTTCTTTAACAGCCTTTTCTTGGCCTACCATTGGCTAGAATGAATTCAATACCCTCAAGCCGTTTGCTCTGTGCAAGCTCTCTCCCACCTGCTGCCAGGGACTGAATATATAGCAATATATTTAGACCTTATGAAAAGTGGCTGAGGGAGCTGGGATTATTCAGTCTGGAGAAGAGGATACTCAGGGGATACCTTATTGCTCTCTACAGCTACCTGAAAGGAGGTTGTAGTGAGGCAGGGATCGCTCTCTTCTCCAAAATAACTACTGATAGGACAAGAGAAAATGGCCTCAGGTCGCGCTAGGGGAGGTTCAGGTTAGACTTTAGGAAGAACTTCTACAGGGAAAGAATAGTCAAGCATTGGAAGAGGCTGCCCAGGGAAGTGGTGGAGTCACCGTCCCTGGAAGCGTTCAAGAAACGTGTAAATGAGGTCCTTAGGGACATGGTTTAGCAGCTGTGTTGAAGAGTATATGTTTTTTCCAACCATAATGATTCTACGATTCCAAGAGCATTTCAAGCTTTATTTGGTTTGAGCTGATGTTTTAGCATTATGCATATATAATTTATACCAAATAATATGAATATTCCAAGATTTTTCCAGCATGTCTTAGCTGTGGGTTTGGAAACACATACCATTTTCAATTTAGTATTTTCTCCTTACCACTTTTATCCTATAGTTCTGTCTACCTGTAGGATAACTTGGTCAACACCCAGTTGATAACAGCCAGTACTGTTATCACTCAGGATTTTTTTTTTTTTTTGGATTTCCCAAGGGCAGGAACTGCATTCATTTTAGAGCTGAGTCAACTCCACTAATGACCTGGCACATTGGGTAAATATATCTGATGGCACCTTTTTACAGCTAACTGATCACACACATCGAACTGTTCAATTCCAGGTGACAATCCATGGACTTACCCTCTGTATTTGCTTATATACAGACCCTGTGTGGGTTTTGTTAGGAAGAATGATTTCAAAATCTTAAGTGTGTATGTGTGTGTGTGTGTATGTATATGCGGTCTCAGCCCAATTCTAGAGCAGGAAGAGGACTTGATTATATTAAGTTTCAGTGTGTTTCAGGAAATAGATATCTGGACAGAAGAGAGGCAAGGTCTGTATCATGAAATCATCCATTATTGGCCAATAGGGACTCTATAGAAGACAGAAATGTTATGGATGCTCCAGTGATGGAAGACTTAATGGAAGCAAAAATATCCAGCTGCATAACCTAAACTCATAGGAAACTGCAGTCCAGAATGGAGCTGATGGAAACTATTCATTTGATTGATTTTCTGCAATGAATCAATCCAGTGAGATTTTTTTTTCTTCTTCTTCTTTGACTAAATTTGGAAGGAAATACATATTGGCTAGGCCCGGATATCCTGGTTTGTCTTCCTTCGCTTCCTCTGGATCACTGTTTGGCAGCGGGTAATAGAACACCTACTCCATACCTTTAAATACTTATCTCAAAAAAAATGTATGTCAAAAGTTTAGTTCTTCAAAATATGCAGTTTCCTCAGTGATTCCAGTGAAACCAGAAACAGGATGAAAGATATTAGTAGAATGTTTCTGAATGCAGAGAAAAGGAAAAATATTTCAAGTGCCCTTCTCTTCTATTTTTCATATGTAGTTCCTTTATCAGACATTTGGAACACACATAATATTTGAAGGTGATGAAAAGGAATGTTATGCATCCTTTAAAATAAAAAGACTGTCTTTTACCTGTAATCAGCAGTAAAAATAAAGCATTGAATTTTGGAGTATAGGTTACATATGCATTAGAGGTAATTGCTCTAATGCTGTGGTCTTGTTAGGGTAGTATTCAGATAACACATTACATTGGAAAAATCTTATTGGACCCTGTGTAATGAGGCAAAAATAGAATAAACGCTATAAATAAAGAGGAGAAAAAAGTAAACCTAATGACAATGGGAACATATAAAAAGAACAGGAATGAACAAAGACACCAACTTCGAAAAAGACTGCTTTGAAAAATGAAATGAACCAAAACAGATGTAAAAATAGATTGTGCTCAGTCTTAATATCCAACATCTGCAGTATTTTTTTTTTTTTTGCCTAGCTAGCCTTCTTGGAGAAGATCTTAATGTCCTATTGACATAATTCAGTGACTTGAATGCATTTACACCTTGGAAGACCGAAAGCCACTTCTACTCTCTCCTCCTTACAGCATTTGTTTTTGTAGATTTATGTATACTTGGCCTTAACTGTCTCCATCTGATTTGGTGGTGCAGCTGTAATCCTCTTCAATACAGATATCCGGCTCTTCCTTTAGAAACTTCCTCTTGCTATGCTATAGTTCTTGTAAACGCCCTAACGGAAGTGGGTTTTTTTTCCTCCTTCCTCCTGCAACAAGAGGTCCTAGAGATACAAGTTACTTTATAAAACAGGAAAAAAAAAGTTTTAGCAAAGAGCCTGCTATTACAAAGAGATATGTTTTTGCATTATTTTTAATCCATTAGTTTCTTACCTTATAGAAACCATGCATATCATTCATGCATAAACAAAATGACTGGCAAAGTTGTAGGGGCTGTCCTAACAATTTAATTTATTAGACTAAAACTGCCAGGTTATTTTCCATCCTTTCTATTCCATATGTTTGAAAGAGAACATCTGTCTCATAAGAATGATGGTTCCAAATCAAGTATAGGATTTTGTTCTTTACAGTAAAAGATACATGTATAACACTTCAGATGTTTGCCGCTTTTCACTTTAAATGTAAAATTAAAAAATGAAAACTTAGAAAAATATGAAATGCATAAAGTTGTTCCTTTGTAGCATCATTTTTATTATCCATTATTTTAGGGCATCTCTATCTCATAGGATAGAAGGAGACACCTTGGAGAAGCTTTCCAAGCAAGATGAGCAGCCCCCTTCCCAGCCAGCACCACCTCCGGGCAGTTCTGCAGAGCTCAACCTCCAGCCTTTTGCCCCCCTTTGCAGACCTCCCCTCTGCTTAGCAGAGAGGTCAGGACACCCATTTCCCAGTCCTGGTACCAGGCCATCTAAATGGTAACCCTGGTAGCGGCAGAAGTAGGACACAGAATAGATACTACAGTGTCTTGCCAGATTGTCTTTTCATTTAAAGTATATCAGAGGCCTCAGCAGAACATATTTCTTTTCCTCTTCTTTCTTTAATAATCTTGGCTCAGAAAGCAAAATCCTAATTTAACAAAGTGCATTTACTAAAACGGATCTATGGAAACTTTAATGATGTACATGACACTGGGTTGTGTGTTTCTTCATGCATTTTCTTGCTCTTAAACATGGACCCTGCCAAGGCAAATAGCCACACAATATTTATCATCATTTTGTTCCTATGTAGGCATATTTTGTTATGATGTTTGCTAAGGTGTTTTGTTTGTTAGCTCCTCCTCTCTTCTGTCTGGAAAAAAACAATATGGAAATCCAGCTGTAGTCATGCAACTTTGTTGACTTATCACCGCTTGCCTTAGGTTTGGACTGGAGCATGAAGTTTCTCCTTTTGTCAAGAACTGCTTTTCACTGCAATTCTGAAGCCTAGCAAAGTTTTTTTTCTCTCTCTCTTTTTTCTTTATTTTCCCCATTATTACTCCCAATGCTTCGGCCTTTAAAATTACTCCCATTTCTGCTGTCAGAAGACATTTTAAGTGGCGCTGCAAACACAGGATTGGTACAGACAGCGCCTGTCTTTCACAGAGAGCTTGGGTGGGTTCCTTCCTCTATTGCATGTTCCAGAGCGATGGAAGTCAGGAATTCACGGGGAAAACTTGATTTTGACGATTCGTCGTCGTTCACAGATTTTTTTGTTTTACCCTGGCATGCAAACGGATTCCTAATGGCACCGTCCAGAAGCATCTACATACATCACTCGCTCAAGAGTACTTTCCATGTGGGCATATATACATGTATTTTATTTATGTCTCTGCTCTAGCCAAAACCAAAGGAAATCCATGGCCAAACACAGCAGGGGAGCGTTACAGTGAATCCTGGCAGGGAGAGGTCCCCAAGGAAGCGGTGGAAGTGCCGTAGACATGTTGTGCTGGGCAGTGGGTACCTGCCGACACCCGGGCAGGCCAGGCCTGAGGGAGCCCTGCAAGGTTGGTGCTCTTTGAAGAACAAGACTCTGTAATTTAACTCGGGGGACCCTTGGGCCAAGTTGTGTGAGTTTTTTTAACCACGATGTCTCGAGGCGGGCAGGGAGCCACCTCCCCGGGCCTGCGCCCACCCAGCGCCGGCTCCGGCGCGGCGGCGCCCAGGCCGGTGCGGGCCGGCCCGGACGGCACCGGATCGGAT